GGACTACACATAGATAGTGTAACTCCCCATTACATATGATTATCATCACAGGAGAGATGCTTGGTGAGTTTGGTTGCATGCCTGCTTTCACTGTGCTGAGAAGGCCAGAGGAGTGAGTAGGGAGGCCTGGGACCAGGCTGCAGTGTGTGGTGTGCTCAGCTGATGGTAGGCAGAGCACTAGGCTGCCCGGACCACATCTGTGGATGTTCACTGGAGGGTTCCTCAGTTAAAAGCACGAGGCTACTGAGTCTTACTGGTTTGACTATTTGTAGATATTTATATGGAAAGTAAACCCATCAATGTTTATATTATTTTATTATATTTTTATTTTACATTTTAAAATTATGCTCCGAAGTTAGTGCCAGGGAAGTTTCCCTTAAATCATCTTTCTGTGAGAACCTCTTATAAAAAAATCTTGAAAATAAAGCCTTCAGATACTTTGAAGAAAAAGGGTACAAACATGCTTATATAGCCTGCAAATAGTTAACGTGTAAACTAGAAGGAAACGGATTTTATTTCAAATTAGCAATATAAAAGGTCAGTTAGGACAAAAGCATATATCAGTAACAAAAAGCATTTGCTGGTATCATTCCACAGTTTACAAAACAAGACAACAGGTTCAAAAATACTTCTCACACACTAAGTGACATTGTTGGAACAGTGGCCGCCACCAGGCCATTTGACGCAGACACGTTTCCAGGATGTTCTGGTTAGCATAATTACCATTTTTTTTAATCTCCTTTCTTTTTTCTCTCTCATTAGCTTTTTGCTTTCTTCTCTTCGTCTTTTATTCACTGGATTCCGAGGATCATAGATTTCAAATGTGTCTGAGTCTTGCATGCTTGCATCTTTCACTTTCCTGCTTTTATCTTCAAACTGAAGTACATGTGACATCCACCCTTCATCATCTTCGACTTCTGCTTCAGCAATGTCATTTTCAGGAGTTTCAGCAATGGCTTGAGTGAGTTTAGACTTAAACTGATTCAGCAGCGCAAGAGTCTGGTCTTCTCGTGAGGTTCCTTTCTTCGCCTGTTGCTTTCTCAATGATTCATACTTTTGTTTTTCTCTTCTGTATTCAGCAACAGCATCATCTAGAGTAGCTTCTTCCTTTCATTTTTCTTCTCTGCATTTGCTGCATTTTCTAATTTTTTTTGCTTTGCTGCTAAGAGTTCCCGCTTTAATTGTCTTGCTTCTTTTCTGAGCTCCTCACTGCGGCTGACTGATTTCTCTGCTTCTCCCTCTCCAGTGGAATTTACATTTGCACCGGCGTCCTTTTTTAACTTTTTTGCAATTCTTTCTCTTACTAGGTTCTGCTCATCACCATCAGTATATTCATCAGGTTCTGTGTTTTCATCCTCTGCTTCATCATCTAAATCTCCTGTTGCATCACCTTTTTCACTTTCAACAGCTGGAACAGAGCTCAGGTGTGGGTCATCCTTTAGCAGATCATGGCTGCTTTTGCTTTTTCCTTTCATGCTCTGACTGACTCGATTTACTTCCTCTTCTTCTTCCTCAGCTTCTTCTCCAAATGATAGTAAACTAAAATTTTTTGTGCCTTTGGGTTTCAATTTCTTTATTTCTTCTTCTGGTTTGTCTTTTTTGGGCTTTTTAATTTCCCTTGGAACGATGTCATCAAAGGGGTTAAACAGGACCTCACTGCTTTTGATTTTGTGTGGATTTCGTGGTCTTTCTTCATTATCAATGTCTACTTCTGTCAGTCGCAGCATATTATACACTGTATCTCCTGTAACCTTTCCAAAGATAGTATGCTTGTTGTTAAGTTCATCTGCTCTACCGAGGGTAAAGAAAAACTGGCTGCCATTATCATGAGGACCTCCATTTGCCATGGCAACCAGTCCTCTCCGATTGAAACGCAACCGTGAGTGAAATTCATCCTTGAATGGGGCTCCATATATAGATTCCCCACCAGTCCCTGTGCCAGTAGGGTCTCCCCCTTGGACTATAAAACCAGGAACAACTCTATGAAAAATGGTGTTGTCATAATAGGCTTCCAAACAAAGCTGGATGAAATTTCTGCAAGCTTTAGGAGCTTCTTTTGACCACAACTCTATGTCAATATCTCCAGCAGTAGTTTTCAATAAAACCTTCCCATTGGTGGGAGGCTCCTGAATGTAGATGTTACTCATCTGGTCGGTGGTTTGGGCGCCACTTCTTATTCTCCCGTACGGGCGGACGGCCGGTCACTAAAGCTATGCACTTCTTAGTACACGACTCTTCAAGTTGAGAGTCGGGGACAGCTTCCCTCGGATATCGCTCAAGACAAGCACAGAAAACACTGATGTCTTCTTTAGAGGCAGTTATTAATTCTTTTACTGTAGAGTTTTATTCAGATTTGGTTTCCTCCATATGTTTCTGTATTCTATTCTTTACTTCAGATGCTATGAGTTCACAGATTTCTTTTTTGATTTCAGAAATTAATTTTGCTCTGAGTTCCTCTGTACCTTTCTGCTGTTGTTTCTTTACTTCCAATGCTGTTAATTCATACATTTCAGCTGACCTGGTGTCCTCTGTACTTGTTCTGGGTGGGCAGTGGGTTTCCCCCATATGTTTCTGTATTTGATTATTTACTTCAGATGCTATGAATTCATAGATTTCTTTCTTTATTTCAGAAATTAGTTCTTCTCTGAGTTTCTCTATACCTTTCTGCTGTTGTTTCTTTACTTCCGACACGTTAATTCATTTATTTCAGCTGAGCTAGTGTCCTCTGCACTTGATCTGAGTAGGCTCAAGGCCTGAGATTGCATTTTGTTCCTTGTCTTTGTCATTTTATGTAGCACTGACCTCTGACCTTTTCTGTATAGCTTTGGTGTAGTTATAACCTTAGCACCTAATGAAATGCGGGTGCAGATTTATTAAGTTTGAGCTTATCCAGTTTTTCCAGGCCTTAGTTTACCTTAGTTCAGCTCATTCCTGCTGCAGCTCTTGGAAGTGAACCTGTTGTGTCCCTCTGGCACAACAGTGAATCTGTGGTGCCCCTCTGTTGTGCCCCTGGCCCAGAGTGCACAGAGGTGCACAGAAGTTCTCACTCACTTGGCGGGTTTGGGGGCTGGGGCCTCTGGAGGGTTGGAGGAGTCCCTACGGTGTGGTACAGCGTCTCACTCATGTGGCTGTCTGAGTTTTGGTCTGGAGAGGTCCTGTGGGCGTGGCGATGTTAGAAGCTCTCCCACACACTCGCGGGGCCTGGGCTGGCTGGATCTAGGAGGTCCCAAGAGCGTCGCAGAAGTTCTCACTCACTAGTTGGGCTTGGGATTGGGGGCTCCGAAGGGTTGGAGGGGTCTCTAGGGTGCGGTAGAGGTTCTTCCTCAGGCACGTGCCTGAGTTTTGGTTCGGAGAGTTCCCAAGAGCCAGGGAAGCTGGAAGCTCTGGGCCTGGGCTGGGCTCTGTCTTATTGTTTAGTGAATGAAGATTCTTCCAACACTATGCAGCCATTTGCTTATATTCTTTCTGAAACAATTTTGTTGGAAATTTTCTGTGCCAAATTTATTAGCACAGTGGATTTATGTTTTGTTCTTTTACAAATTTATTCTTTACTCCTCTTTTTTTTAAGCCATGAAAATGATAGAAAATTCTAGTTATGTAACTCCTTGATATATTTCATCTTACATCAGAATGTAATAATATTAATTGAAAAAAACTCTGTGGAATTCCTTAACATTACCCTACACCCTTTTTTTTAAAGCAGAAACGTTTCTAGGAGGTGAAATAAATCCCCATAACACAATATGTAAAATATTCAGTGGAAGTTGAGATTGTCAATAAAATTGTGAGTTATGGCATCAAATATGTTTTAAAATACACAAGTGTGTAAGATTGTAAAGGTTTCAGTGCAGTCCTGGTCTTTTACAATAGGAAGGCATCACTTTACAGGGAGCTTATGGTGCTGCAATAATATCCTTTCAAATATCTTAATTTCAAAGGTGTAAACTGAGCTTGATTTAATTTCATTGTGTTTTTTTTGTATATAGATCTTATAACCTCATGCATAACCCATATACTTTTATAGGAATGTGCTTGATGGCTTTGAAATTACAGATCATGAAATTTTTAATTATAGAGAAAATCTCCCTTTACTCTGCACTGCTCTCTAGTGTTTGCTTGTTAAAGAGAGCACTGCAGAGTGAGTTTTACTACTGTGATCTAAACAATTAATAGCTTCAGAGAAGTGTCAGAATAGTCTGTGAAGACTGCACAGTTAAATTCTACAGGGCCCAGTTGAGCTGTCCTACTGAGCTATAGATAACAGATGACCACATTTTAGACACTTTAATTGAAATGCATTTGGCTTTCTCCAGGTTTTATGAGAAAAGAGCTTGACAATTCTCAAAAGTAAAAACTACGGTTATGCTGTCACCATGTTGTCAGAATGCTGGAATTGAATTTTACTCTCCAGGGGAAATATTTTTAACTATACTTGAGGTTGATTTGTTTGTCACCTCAAGTAGGGTTTTTTGGAGCCAGTTCTATTTTGGAGACTTGATTCATTTGTTTCTGCTCTCCTCTGTTGTGTTTCAAGGTCAATGAAACCTACACAAAAATCCACCATTCCATTATTGGTCATTATTAGAACATAAATTATGGTTCTTTTATAGCTAGATAGTTTTGAGGAATGAATTACACTTTATGTTAGAATTTATTATTTACTGAAGAATCTGTCACATGTTTGTATCACCTGTAGAAATAGATAGTCTGGAGCTAACAGTTCTTAGATAGCTTATCTCCTATCAACAAATCACTCATTTAATTATGTTTATAACTCAGGGTTGAAAATTCATCTCTTCTTTTTACCTATCACATTTATGACTTGATCAGGAAACAATCTGAGATTTTCCTATACACATCTAAAATATTTACATAATATACAGTAACAGAACTCTGTGTACTTTCTACATATTAAACAGTGTATGGAGGTAGCATCTAATCTCTTCAGGCAGTTTATTTCATCAAAATCTGTTGTTTTCTGACAATATACCTCCCATGAAGTACAGGATATAAAGAATGATCCATTTTCAAGGGCCCCAAAACTACTTAAATAATAAGTCAAGGAAGATCATTAATATAATAATAAGTAAAGTCAATTTATCAGAAGAATGAAAAATGGTTTCCAATTTGGGATTAAAATGGCTTCAAAACAAGAGACAGTGCTATTATACAGTGCAATGTTGCATTGTTCTCATGGCAGTGGTATCATTCTGACTTTATTACCATTTTAATTGAAAAAAATGAGGCTCAGAGGAGTTGAGTACTTGCTTAGTGTCACAAAATAATGACAAATAGTTGAAAATGGGTGCTCTGTGATTCTAAAACATTTTACACTTTTAAATTAGCTTTTATCCAAGTCCAGATGCAGAGATGGTAGCTGATAGAATTGCTACCATAATCCCGTTACATATAAAGGAGTGGAATTCAGAGTGTGTGAGTGGCTTGCTTAATTTCCAATAGACAATAATAGTAGATCTAAGATATGCATGTTGGTCATTTAAAAAATTGTGAATCACTTAAGCACATACTGCAGCAAGAACAGTACAGTGCACTGTAGGTACCCATTATTCATATTCAATTTATCAGCTTACAGTCACACTTGTATCTATTTACATATCCTTACTTGTCTCTGCAAATTCTACACATACTATTTCATCTATATTTGAGTATGTGTTCCTGAAAGAAACAAAGTCTTGTTAATGAATGGAGATAAAGCATATTATTTATACCAAAAACAGACTACAAGCAAATGACTCCTTAAGATTACCAAATCCTAAGTATATATTTTTCTCACACATACTTAATTTATTGTTAGGTTTTATGTTCTATTGGACATGAACCAGATTCTAAACAGTTTATACACACTGTGTTTAGTTGACAGGTCTTACAAGGATTTTTTAAAATTAAAAAAACTTTATAGTAGAAGACCTTGCCAGTAATTCTCTCAAAATACTCCATCTAACTTTAAACACACCTATCCCATCATTCTTGACAGTTTATTTTCCTTTTTTTTATTAGTACAGTATAGTACTCCAGTTCATGAAAGCTTTTGCTTGAGAAAAATTTGGTTTGTAGACAGAAGTGTTTTTGACATTTTTTTGTTCACAAACTACACCAGGTGATGAACATGACTGGGCCATCTTTCCTGCACAAACACAAATATGGCCATATTTTCCAGAATCACGGAACAAATCAATTTCGTGAACTGAGGTACCACTCTATATGTTTTCAATACATAATGAATATAATTATTATGGAGTATTAATAAATATACATACCACATCTTGTTCAAATTTTTACTTTCTCTCCCTCATCTCTCCCCTTTCTTTTATTAATTTTGCTAGCAATGGACTTGTGGAAACAGCATCATTTGTTGTGCCTGCTGGTTTTCATTTTCAATGTGACTTCATTGAGACAACTAGGAAGTCAGTAAGGCACAATATTTGGTGTGTCTCTGTGGGCCATGGTGGCAGGACCTTGAGGTTTTCTATCTGTTATCTCTGATTCTTAGCCTTCTCTTCTTTGCTGTTGTTCCCCTCATGCTTCTCAGATGATGTGAACTGAGCAGCTTTACCTCTGCTATGCCCCTCAGCCACGATAGCTCTGCCTTCAAGTAGCCAATCATGGAGTGAATCCTCTGAGGCCAAAACCAAAGAAACCTCCTATTTTGAAATTGTCAATGTCAGTTTTTTAAATGTCAGCAATGAGAAAACTGAACAATATGAAATGTGGAGCTAGTGAAGGGATGATTATTGTGATGGTACCTGACCATGTCATTTAGCTTTCCTAAGCCTTTGTGGGAAGAATTTGGAAAGGTTTGGAGATACAGGCTAGAGTTCTAGAATGTTGTAAGCAGAGCCCAATGGATGGTTCTGGTAGGAATTTAGAATTTAATTAAATTCTGGCAAAGAATTTGTCTACATTTTGCTCATGTCCTGAAACTTTGCAGAGGTTGATTTTAAGAGTTATGGCTAATTGATCTGAAAGTGGAAGTTTTGAAGGCAGGCCAACTTTCAGGTGGTAGCATGGGTGCTGCCAAGTGCTTTTATCCAGATTTAGAACCATAAACAGATCAAGGAAAAGTCAAAATATTTGAAAAAATTAGATTTTGTTCCCAAAGAACCACAAGTAGTATTGGACCAAAAGATGTATGGCTACTGAAGGAACTATTGCCATTAACTAGTGCTGCATCCTTTAAATGGGGCAAGGAAAGGACCTCGAAGGTATCTCAGGAATCCACAGAACCCTACCATTAAAAAAGCAAGTATGGTATGGGACATTCTGTGCCTGCA